CGATCTGATGACAGCCTGCTGGTTGTAGTAGTAGTATTACTCACTGCAGATGTATATTTTGCTTGGGGAGCCCCCCTCCCTGTCATTTGCAGAGGATCTCCCTCCGGCTGAGACATTCAGAGCAACAGCTACTACGACTGGCAGCGCTGAATCACTGGCTTTCTGTTGCACTGTCATGAACAGAACCAGTAAACCTGAGAAAACGCTATCGGCACATGAAACCTGTCAGAGGCCGTCCTCGACTCAAACCTCTGTTTCACTTCTGGATTCCTGACGTCTGGAGCTCCACCTCACAAAAGTATTGGACGTCTTATCCTTCTACTGCTGCTGTAAATCAGTCAAGCTCAAAATAAATTGACCAAAAACACGAGTGTTAAACGGGCGAGGGGGTGAATATTTTTACGGGGGCTGTAAATTGACATTCTCATGCTCATGGTTGCAAAATGGTTTTGTTTTATGTTGGTTAAAAAATTATCGGGGACTGCCATGGCATTGCCTTGCTCTCCATGCATTGCATGGAAGGCCCCACCATTCCACACTTAATAAGCGTTTCTTTCTTTATTTTTCTTCTGTTACCGAACTGCAAAGTGTACCCCCACAAAAGTTGTATCAAAACGACCGGCTCAATCTCAAGATTAGGGCTTTTACTTGTATTGGCAATCAGAGTTACCATGGTGACGTATTTTGCTAACAAAGTTGCCATATTTCCACATAGGAAATGAATGAGAACACTCCACAGTAACTGCTGCTGTCGAGTCACATGAGTGTAAATGTCCCTGAAGAAAACAGAAAGTCACTGTTGGATATGTTTGAAACTCACAGAATGTAATAATCAGATGATTGTCTGGAACTGATGAACGTTTGGAGCCATTTTGATTCAAGATGGCTGCCACAGCTACCTCATCAAACACACAACTTGACTATAACTCGGTCATTCTTTGAGATATTGAGCTGAAATTTAACATGGTTGTAGCTGAGAGTTAGTTGTTATACATTCGTAATGCAAATCAAACATCCAAGATGGCTACCTTAGTTAAAAGAGAAAAAATAGGATAAATCACCATTTTTAGAACCATTCAGCTGAAATTTGGTATACTGGTAGCTGAGAGCGAACCCCAACACAGTACTGTCAAATCAACAATTTAAACTGGCAACAGCCTAGCAGTCCCCGTCAAAGTTTCTCCAGGAACTTTCTAGTTATAGTTACAATTTTTTTCAGGGCTTTTACAAGGGATTAAGTTTTTTGAAGTTTTACAACTTACAACTTTTAAGTTACAACTTTTCTCTAAAGTTCGTCCAGCTGCGTCCACTGAGAGGGAAAACTTCTAAGAGATAAACAGGCAGCGGTGCGGACATCTTTCGTTCGATGAAAGAAAGAGAAAAACAACGACTTTTCTAATCAGATCATCCTAATTTACATTTCTCAAAGCTGTAATCTCAGAACTGAAGCCAAGCAAAAATTCATGACAAATGGTGTGAAAACGTCCCGTCGCCCCGTTTTTATGAGAACTCTGAATCAGAAGGAGAGGAATTACTCTGAAGTTGCACTTGGTCGAGTCACAGGTCTTCAGTTTACTTTACGCTAACTGCTCTGAGTTTGGCTCCTCTCTATTCTGTTTTTAATCAGTCCACAGGTTAGCGTTTGCAACACTCTAATCAGTACGACGGAAAGGGAGATGCTTTCTGCAGACGCCCACTGAACGCTGGTTTTTCACAGTTCGCTCGATGGCGCTCAGATTGTGTCTAATATTGGAGAGGATGCCTCCCGTGAACAAACACAGCTCTACAATTCACCAACACTGCAGGAGGCCTGTGTTAACATCGCACTGTTAAAATTAACCTGAACCTTTTTACCCAAAATAACAAGAAAAAAAAACTTGTTTGCCAAGTGGCACTAAGATGCGCAGCTTTTCTTTTAGACGTGATCACCACAGCTGCTTCTCTTCTAACACCAGCAAGATAGTTGATTATTTTGATGGCGGCTGCACGGCTCGTCTTTTCTTTCAAAGGTCACGGCCTTTAAAGGAGACCCGCAGACGCCCCATCGCCGCTTTCTTGTTCACATAACAATTTTTGTTACAAATCAATAAAGTGGTGCACTTTTCTTCAATTTCACCTCATTGTTGTGCTGTGTATGCAAAGGTTCGCTTTGATAGTCACAGTAGACTCTAAAGTGTGTGGTGTTCTGCGAGTGTGTGAACATGGCTGACATGGGAAAGGAAGAGCCTCCCACGCTAACAGGATGATGTGAGTGCTGGTGGCCAGACACAAAAGAAAGTGCCAGAAAGCACAAATGATGCACAACATTTAAAAAAAAGGGCCGGACGCCTTAACAGGGACTGTAAAATAAATTGATGTTTAATTAAAAATAAAAAAAATCTATTGTGCAGAGTTTATGAAGGCAGTACGGTTTCATTTTTGTGTTTCTTTTCAACAATTTGCCACGCGTCAGATCTAATTTAAATATGACTTTGGTTTTCTTCAGAAACCAACCGGGTGCACTTGCTCATTACTCACTGACTCACTCCCTGCTACCTTTTCAAAGATCACAGTTTACAGTAAAGTGTTTGTTTTTTTATGTCCCGGGGAATCTCTGATTGTTCGCTCCAGTTTGGGGGCGGTACAGCTGCATGTCATCTGCCATGTACAGACTAGTCTCCTTGTAAATCTCCCAGTGCTGAACTGGGCAATAGTTCTTTACTGCACCCTCTGAAACCAGCTTACCCTGTGTGATCTCTGCGCTGCGCGTCTGACCTTTCATCGTCACATGTAAAACATCTTGGCGGTTGAAACCACATTAAGAAGTCACATCATGAAAACTGAGCGCTTATATATCCGTAGAGTGGAAACATGACAAGTTTTCCATAAGTTTCAATCAAACGAAGGTCCTCCATCTTCCTGTCCTCGCGTCTTTCTCACCATGACAGTATTTGATGTTGATTTACTTGAAGGCCGCAGTTGTTTTTTACGAGCTTTTTGCCGTGTTTCTTGTGGTCCAGCTGTGAGAACTGAATGGAGGCAGCAGCTGTGAAACAATCACACGTGCTGGCTGAACATGAGACTTTTTATTTTGAATCCAGCTCCGAACTGGGACGATGGAGTCGTTAGCCTTGCTGAGCTTGAAGTTGAGATGAAGTTTTTTTAACAGTGAAATGGATTTACACTGCTCTTCAGCTGTGTGTGCAAACTTCACGAGGGAGTCTGGAGAATTGTACCGAACCACCATGAAAGGTCATGTGAAGTAATGGACGACCCAGCTGCACAGACGTGTGTTTAAGAGTCAGTGTTTTGTTGCTACAGTTCTTGGACTCAAACAAAGGCCTGAATGTCCCGGTCGCTGAATGGAATAGCTTCTGTCACTTGTCGTGTCAGGAGTTATTAAAGCTCACATCAGAGAAACGGCTGTGCAGACTCGGAGTTTTGCCAGTCTGTTCGAGTTTTTCCACTTTGAGCTTCTTATTTATTTATTTGAAGTCTGTAAAAGTCTGTGCAGGACTGCGCTGCCCCCTGCTGGAAATAAATACAAATTATTTCATTAACAGTTGTGTTGTTTATGCAGGTTCTAGAAAAAAAAAGTTATAGAATTGCGCTGCTCAAGTTGGCTGCATGTTGGAGCAGCTCTGTTACACTCATGCTGAGTTATTGCTTTTGGAAACTTTAGTTCTTCTTCTTCTGGATGTAAATTGCTTTTTTTGGAAGATTATTTCCTCTGGTATCAGATGCTGTGCAACTGGAAGGATTTTAACTGAAACCTTTTTACTTTTGGGCATTTGTTATGATGCGTAACCATGGCAACAAGGTGTTTTTTTTAACAACCAGGAGCAGCTGATTAACCTCTCAAAAGCTGAAATACCTCAACTACAGCATCAAATCCCAAATGAGTTGAAAAGGAGGCGCCGTGGACAAATTCCTGTCAACCTGACGGCGGTGCTCGAGTGCCTGACTGCAGAGATTCTGGAGCTGGTGGGGAACTCGACTCGTGACATCAGGAGGACCGGGATCTTCCCCCGGCACCTTCAGCTGTCTGTCTGTGGCACGAGGAGCTCTGCAGACTGCTGGGAGGAGTGACCATCGCTCAGGAAGGGATTCTGCCCAGCGTTCAGGTGGTCCGGCTGCCCAGGAGGACCGAGAGGCCCGCCGGATCTGACAGCAAGCTGGATACAGGTGGACGGATCGGTATCTGTGGCCAGATCCTTCAGATTCACTGCAGGAGATCCTTCCAGCCCACAGCTGTCAGCATCTATAACAACTCTTGAATGAAACCAGGATGATGAGCTACGACACTTCATTTCCCTCTGGGATTAATAAAGTATTTTTGAATTTAATTGAATTGTTAACACAATGTCAGCAGTGCAATGAAATGTTCAGGATGAGAACTGATTTGACTTGATCAAAACAAATAAACAAGAAATACGCAATAAGGGTACAAAATCAAGTGCCAAAAAGTTAAAAAGAAATTTAATATTTACAAGGTCCTAACAAGAGATAGTCAACACAACATGGTTGAATATAACTGCAAGTAGAATTTGTATGAAAAAGTATTTCACAGGAGGCAACGTAAGCTTAAATGCATTATGTATGTATATGTGTGTGTGTGTGCGTAGAGAACTTTACCTGGATCTGGTTGTAGCAGCGTTGTGGTTATAAACCTGGCTAATAAAATTATTTGCTAAAACATGACGACACTTCTTACCCAAGCGGCTCCGTCATAAACCTGAACATGTCGTGGGTTGTGTGAGGTAAAACTGTCAATGTGAGGATGTTGTCCAGCTAAACACTGGACGATCGGCCTGTGGTTAAACGTTGTGGTCAGCTGGTTTATGTCTTTAAAGCACCAACATTTGTTTTCAGTCCCACAATCGGAGCACTGTATTGTTCTCACTGCATCACTGGAAGCTTTTTGAAGCTTTTCTGTGGTTGAGGACGTGCTCGGACACTTTGTGCTGGTTTCAAGTTGTTTTAAAGAAAACCTCCCTATCTCTGTTTTTCTGTCTCCACAGTGAACGAGATCATCGGCAGAGACATGTCCCAGTCGCCCAGCGCTCACGGTTCTCCGTCAGTTCACAACCAGTCGTAGCTCAGCTGTGGCTCGAACTCCGCCGCTCCAGCCTCCAGCGCCTCACCCTGCGGACTCCACAGAACCAGGACGTGCTGCGAGAGCAGGAGATGAGACTGTGGGTGGAAAACTAAAGAAAGTTCCTCTGGTTTGATTTCAGTGATGCTGTAGCTCTGATTTAAACATGTAGATGACTATGCAGATGTGGAACAGAAACCAGAGCAGGTCGAGCCACAGCAGAACATTTGGATTCTCACAGCTGTAAGTTCTCAGGCATGCGTTTGATTCCCAGTCCCTTCACAGCGCTGCTGGTTTCCTGCCAGTCAGCTCTCGCCTCTGTGATTTTTAAAAAATCCGTTTCAGCGAACACATCACAACAGAGGGTTTCTGTCACCGACTCACCAGCATCGACTTGTTGCAGGGACCCAAAGTGCTCGTCACTTCTTCAGGTGGTGGTTTAGACCACGTTTCTGGCAACATTATTAAAAAAACTGAAAGGGACTAAAACTTCCAGGGATGCTACAGACAACATGGAGGATCTGCAAAGACTGATGAGGCATTCTGCTGCATTACCAAATTAAGATAAAACCTGCCTGAACTACACCTTTAAGATGAAAATAAATAAATAAACTTGTTTTTACCCAGAAGTAAAAAAAAAAAACAACTAAAACCTTCAGGTCTGGAGTGTGGCTGCTGCTCCTGTGGAGCTGATCTCAGATCTGCAAAATGTGCAACATTCCACCTTTTAGGAACCTTGCAGCTGTCTAGATATCTGTACAATGTCCATTTTCTGCCCCCCACCCCCGTCAGGTAAACGCCCCCGCCCAGGTTTCCTGATGTGTTGATCAAATGCCTTATTGATGTTAAGCAGCTTTCTGTTGTAGCTACAGCTCTTGTTGTTTTGCACAGCAGGCATGGAGGTAGATATTTTTGGCTCCTGTGATTTTTATAAAACAAAATTAAGGATATTTTAGATCTTTTTTTTTTTTCTTATGCCGTTGTTTCTGTCACAAAGGAGAGTTTTCATCGACCCACAGGGATGTAATCCTGCATCCTCTCCTCACTTCTCCCCGGGGCCTTTTTGTGCCTTTATTTTCCAACGGCCATCATTTCAAACGACAACCTGCACAGAATTTATTGGGCAATAATCGGAGGAAAAATTGTGATGAACTGTGTGTATATTGTATTTCTGTATCATGTCCTCGTCTGTCAAGAACAACAAGTAAATCCAGAGAGCAACATCTGGACTTACTGGGGTCTTCCAGCATCTCCCTGCTTGCAACAATCAACGTTTGCTGTTCACAGTTCGTTTCAAACGGCTTCTACATGTTTCGTTTGTCCCTTTAATTTGTTCCTGCTCTTACACATTTGCATCGAGTGCCTGTGTGGCAGCAGTGGCACAAATCCCAGGACAGAGACGGCTTTTTGCCTTAAGTCTGACAACTATGATGCTCTGCGTGTTCGAGCCAGGATCGTGTTGCTTCTCATGGTTTGAAGTCAGTTTCCAGGTAAAAAATAATTCTGCTATGCATTGATATTCTGCTTAATGCCTTTAAAAAATTTTAAAAAGACAACAAAAAAAGACCTTGATGCCTATAGCGGTAGACCTGTAGATGCTCGTGTTAGCGTCCTGAATGGAGGAAGCATCTTAATTCAGTGTGTGAATGGATGGTAGATGTTTGTACCAAATATCCAGATCCAATGAGTCCTATTTTCAGTAACACACGTTTAGGCTATGCAAAATGTAACAGCAAATGTGAAATGTGTCGCTGAATAAGAAAAATGTTTTTAGATTTCACAGAAAACAAACAAAACAAAAAAAGCTTTTGTATAAGGACAATATCACGTCACTATGTGAACTATAGGATGCCTTAACTCTTGTTTGAGAACCAGTTCATCTGAAAGCTCTTCAGGGTTTAGTTTCCCTCCAAATGAGTGAAGCTCATGTCAGTAACAGTTGTTTTATACTCTGGGGGTGCAGCATGGACAAAAAGGGTTTGATGGGAGACTGGAGGCAGATCTTTGTGTTAAAGTTGGAGCTTTAGAAACTAGTCTGCAGCAGATGAAAGAAGAAAAACAAAACCAGCATTGACTCAGGCCCTCTTCTGTCACAACCAAAGATCGAACAACTTGTTCCCGTTTTAGACGCGAGTAAAGCTGCCGTGACTGTACTACTCTATTTTTGATACTTGGAAATGGACGTCATTCCTTAAAGGTTAAAAACACGCGAGGGTGTCTGTTGAGACTGTAAAATAAAAAAGGGAAATACAGGTTTAGATGATGTGTTTACCAAGCCTTGCATTGATATTTCTTGTATATTTTGTATGGTAATTATTTTCTTCTTTTTTTTGTAATTTTTAAGACTGCAGTGCTTTTTGAAATTATTCAAAGGGAATAACACCCTGCATCATACGGTAGGCTCTAATGTAGCGTATGTTAATAAAACGGAAAACTCAGTCTGGTGTTTGTTTCCTCATCTTTACAAGAGAAAACTATTATATATTTTAGTTCTTCCACTCTGAAGGGGTTGACTGACATCACTGTCTTATGACCACTGATGGTTTAAACTCTTAAGAGACACAAACAGAAAAAGTGTGGCGATATGTCACCATCAGTACGATGGTTTCTGTTGTGGAACATAAACGACCTCAGGTGAGCTCCTAAATTATTTTATATTCAAACTTGTCAAAACTCCAGGAAGAAGCTCTGAATTGATCAATCTGGTGGTAGATCATGCTAAAATGATATAAAATGTGAAATGATTCATGCAGAACTTTAAAGACTGTTGAACTGGATTAAATTAATGGAAAACACCGAGTTAAAGTGAAGCTCTAGTTCATATTTAATCCTGAAATGTATTTTGAAGCAGCGTTATTCTTAAACCGGTGTTTTGGCGCCCTCTAATGGTCAGAAACATTTGCAGTATCAAAGTTCATAATCCAGGTTAAAAAAAAAAAAAAATCCAACAAAGGGCCAGGTCCTCTGGATGGTTTCTTTGTGTTGAAACGTTTCGTCTTTCATCCAAAAGACTTTATCAGTCCGAGGAGCCACAACAAACTCAGTCCCATAAGTAGCACACTCGCATAGCGGGTTAACCAGTTTGATGGTGATATGGTTTCTGGAGTCCGCCCTCTCCCCCATCGACTACTCTGAGGCAGCCATGGCCAAAGTGCAAAGTGGTTTGTTGGATTTTTTTATTTTTTTTTTCTGGATTCATTGAGCATTTTGAACCACTTTAGCCATGGCTGCTTCAGAGGAGTCGACAGGGGAGAGGGCGGACTCCAGAAACCATCTGAGCACCATCAAACCCACTATGTGAGTGTGCTACTTGTGGGACTGAGTTTGTTGTGGCTCCTCGGACTGAAGAAGTCTCTTGGATGAAAGATGAAACGTTTCAACACAAATAAACCGTCCAGAGGACCTGACTTAACTTTTGTTGGCCATTTGCAGTAGTTTTTTTAAACTTTGGAATATTTTATATTAATAACCCACGTCAGGATAAATAATCTCATGTAGGTTAAAAACAGTTTGCCATGAAAAACTGCTGATCAGATCATCAGAGGGGCAGCACAGGCTGAATAACTGGGAGATAAATATCCTGATGCATGCCCAATAATCCAGGTAGAAAAATCTAACAAAGTCAAGCCAGACGGATTCAAAAAATAAGTTAGAGGACATGGAGGTAGGAGGACTGAGTGAGATGGAGGTGTAGGACTCAGTGTTGAGACCCCTGGTGCACATCGACAACAAATAACCTTAAATGTTTACTTTTTGTTATTAATCCCTAAAAAAGAAAAAAAAATGAAACTAATATTTGTCAACGTTTTTATTGTTTACATTTTATACACAAAAATTCATGCAAGCATTGTCACAACAAAAATAATCACCTGCCACCAGAGGCTGACATTTAGCCTCATATGGGCCACTATTGCACTCTGGGTAATGTAGGCACATTAAAGAAGGCCCACTGTCAGCAGGCCTCGTACAGAACTAAAGAACATTACGCAGCTTTCCACAGTCCTCTGGTTGTAGACGTGAATTAAAGACATCGTTAGAGTCTGGAAACAAATGAGAAACAGGAGCTGCTGTTGGTTCTTAAAAAATATTTCCGGGGTGGAAAAAAAAATACAGTTTTACTTTTAATAACCAAATATCAGCTCGTCAAGAAATCACATTAATAAAATAGAATAAATTTATCTTGCTGCTTTGGTAAAGATGTATGGCTCCTTATCTCAGTGTTTGGAGCAACAGGAAGCTGTAGTGCTTATTACAAAATGCTTAATGTCAGTAAAAATAAATGCTTTTACAAAAATAAAACAAAGTGATAGGTTAGTGGGTGCTCTGGTGTAATCTAATACCAGTATTCCCTGAAGCTCAGAGCCACTTTAAACCACAATTTAACTCTTGACAGTTTAACATATACAGTAGATGCACTTTGTTTTGAACCTAAAACAGTTTTTATGGCTTAATTCATCTCGTTTCCATCCATGAAGTGTGTTAAATAAAACACGTCAAGCCTACACCCAGCTTCTATCAGCACTGAGCCAACAGAAAAACGGAGAGAAGTTTCAATCCTGTGGAGTTTTAAGAGAAATTTAGAAAGGATTTGAGTTGAGATGTTTGCACAGCCTCAAGAACTTCAGGACAAACATTTGTAAAGTTTTATAGAAGATATTTATATAAAGTACTTAAATATATTTGCAAGTTTGGCTTTGCAGAGCCACTACATGGGTCTTTTCCAGGCTCCACACCATCTGATGCAGTAACTCAAAGAAACGGAAACATTACAGCCGGCATCCACAGCGTCATTTACTCAACGTTTAGCTGCTTCATCTGTGGATCCCACAGCTCCAACTGCAGCCGCAGGAGTGTCAGGAGCAGCGGTGAGAGGTGTGTGTGTTCAACATGACAGATCAGAGAGGAGAAAACTTCAGCAGGAGTTCTGGAAAGAACCGGGACGTGCTGGAGTTCAGAGCGAACAAAGAGGGCTTCTTCGCAGGATGTTAAAGGGGCGAGGTGGAGAGAGACGGAGGAGGTCAGTTACAGAGAGCCAAGTGGACCTGCTGGCCGTAGAACGATTGGCTTGAGCATTCCACTACGGCCCGCCTGGCCAGCTCCTCGCTCGGAAAAGTGATCAAGGCCTCGCCGCTGCATTGGCCACTGAAGTTATACAGAATAAGCACGGCTTCTGGTTGGAGCTGCAGAGAGAACAAACATGCACAACAAGTCACTTCAATGACGTGCAACTGCAACATGAAAACAGAAGAGGGAGCCCACAGCTGAGGAGCAATCATGCACGGAGGAGGAGGAGGAGGAGGAGGAGGAGGAGGAGGAGGAGGAGGAGGAGGAGGAGGAGATGTCCTCTCATCAAAGCAGTCCAGTTAGGAAGCAGAAAAATTCAAAGTAGGTGCAAAGCACATGCTGCTCTCCAAGACCTGAAACTAAGGAGGCTGCAAAAGTGACAGGATGAACAATGTTAGTTTGCATGCATCAACATCATCATCATCATCATACACCAAAATCAATGCAGCAACTGAAGAGTACGTGCAGCCTGAATGACAACTAACAATTCATGAATCAATCACAGAACATCAGACAGTAAGAAGACAAACTAGTTTGACCGTGTACAGTAGTCCCTCGTTACTTCGGGGTTCATCTTTCTTGGTTTTTCAACGATCATCAACTTTAATATTACTCACGTGATTGAGACGGTACAGATGAAAAGTTAAAAAAAAAAATGTAATTAATTTAAAACCTTCAGACAGGCGCCCCCATTTTGTAATTTACTTTCAATAAGCCTATACTGTAACGACAGTCAAAAGAACTACACTACCCAGAAGCCAACAGTGCTTCCAGCTGCTGCTTTCTGTCAAAATGGAGGGAAAGTTTTGATCTGATCCAAACCTAACCAAAAAGTTTGGGCCTTATTCATAGTGACTTGAGTGCTCAGTGGCTGCAGAGAGCCGACCAGAACCGGACCAGGTCTACTTCCAGCCTCATCGGTCAAGCCGAGTGCTGCTTGCCGGCCCATGAAGCCTCTCGAGGGCAGACGTTGCTTGGAGGTCCGGTGTCTTCTCTGGAGCGCACCCAGACTTTTTTCATCTGGATCTCTCTGGATTATTTGGACTCAATCGGGACCATTGTGTGGTTTTGTGCTGGTTCTCCGAAGGTCCGGCTCGCTCGAAAAGCATCTTGGTGCTCAACGGCTGCAGAGAACCGATCAGAACCAGACCAGAAGTGGACCAAGGCTGGTGAATACAGCACTTATCAGAGCTCCTGAACATGAGTGCTTTATTGGAACAGGCACTGATAACATCTACTTTAGTTAACTTTGTGTAACAATGCTCGCAGTTTGACTAATGTGTAAGACTTTTATCTTTCACCTCTAAGAACAAAACGGTGCAGGGACACAGACTCCAGGGGAGCGTGACAATTAATAAATGTCAGCTTTTCCAGGTAGTGAAGCAGCGTTAGGAGCCGGTGTGGCAGTCAGGCCTGAAGCTGCTGTCAGATGATGAAAACTGTTGACGGTTATTAGGAAGCAGTAAAGTTCTCCCATCACTTCTACCAAGAACACCAAGGTAACAGAAAGGGAGCATCAGGAAAGAGAGCGAGCACATACTAACATTTGACAACGTCAGTGTAACATGCGTTCATCGTTTGTAATGAGTAAACCGGGTCGTTGATGGAGGCGGATCTGTTCAGGAGCTTCCAGAGCTGTGAACGCTGTAGTGAAATGATCATCTAAGTAAATCTGCTTTAAATTGCTCGTGCAAGATTTCTGCGTTGAAAAAACAAACAGATTATTTTGTTAATAAAAGATCAACTGCAGAGGGATTCAAACTGTATGAGTACACAAACCAGATGAAGCGTATCCAGTGAATACTGAACTGGTGATCTAAATGAGTCAATAAGTCAGTAAAATTAATAAATACACTTAGTGTTTGTTACAAGAATCCAGCAAATGTAAACTTTAGTCTCTAAATGTCCAGAGAAGTCTGAGCCTGATAAGAAAAACTAGTTGAGTAAATCAGCCCTTCAGTACTGACTGGATGTTTCAAAGCGCTCAGCCTGTGCCCCATGAAGCCGTGCTGCAGGAAAGGTCGAGGACATGCCGCCTTGCTCCACGCCGCCCCTCGGCTCTTCTTACCTTCGCGAGTCCTTAAAGGCAGAGCCATTCTTTGGGCTGCATCAGACTCCGGACCTGTTCGTTCATCTGAACCACACCGCTGTACTCGTCAGGGGCGTACTACAGACAGTACAACGATACACAAGCAGTCAGGGTGGGAGGTCACCGCATCGCTTTCACATACGATGATACAACTCTTCAACACACACACACACACAAGCTATTGTTATATTACC